AGGGAATGGGATTTTTATCCAGATCGAATCGAGGGCATTGGAATAAAATATGTTCAACGTCTTCTATAGTGCCATCTCCTCAGGTTTCGCAGTGGTCAGGCGCTTCGTTTTGGGAGTGGAGTGTAAGCCCCTGAGTTAAGTGGAAGATTATTTCACCTTGTGGTCGTGATATACATTTTTCAATATTTGGGATCAGGCTTTGTGTCCTGCAAACGCTGGAGAATTCGTCACATTTCTTCTACCAAATATTAAGCTTGTCAGCGTCAAATTACCAGTTGTATGCATGGTTGGTTCTTTTTCCAGCTATAGGACCTATCGGATGGTAATCCAGACAATACTACCTCGTTTTTGATGTCTAGAGTGACCATTAAGGAGTACTTTATTGTTCCTCCCTCCCTCGCATCAATGGTGGATTTCGAATTACGAAAGGCGAACTGCTGGTGTGACAAACCACTGTAGGCTGCGATGGGACTTTGAACGCAATCATGTATGTATGCATATATAATTCCTTCGAGGATGTTCCCCATTGAGTGGACCATGCAAAGAGGACTATAGTTGATCGGAGCGTTTGGTTGCTTCTTAGGCATCGTGATCAGATTTAGGTATTTTCGCTGCCATGTTTTTGAGACTACGTTCTTTTGAATGGCATAGCCAGAACCTGGGAGATTTACTTATATGTATCTACTTGCACTTCTTGGAGAATATACGCTGCAGACTTCAGAGGCAGCAATACGGTCATGTCTCTGTTCCTCTACCTGGGAAACTGGATCATGCGCGAGGTGGATGCTCCTCATAAAACGCTTCCCGAATCCAAGGTGGAACATCGTACGCCGAAGAGGCTACCTAGTCGCTAATATGTGAACTTGGGTACACGGGCGCGGCCTCATTTCAGCGGACTGAATGACCCCAATACTAGTGGGCACAAAAATGAACACTAACACAAACAAAGAAAAAACTGGCGGAAGCGGCCATGAAGGCTTCAAAGAGGCGCCTACGCCTCAAGAGGACATTGGAGTGAGCCAATCTGTCTCACAAACAGCACCTGCTGGCAAAAAAGAAGGGACATTAAGACACACAAAAGCTCAGTGTAGCGGGTAAGAAGAGGTACCAAGAAGAGGTGCTGAAGAAAGGACTGTGCAAAGAAGAAGCGTATGCCAATGCGAAGTTTCCAATAATAATAGATTGGCCCTTACACATATGTATGTTAGTGTTTCGCCGAGCTTCTCCTCCGATTTGTAGCGTCCGCCTTGATGTTGTCATACAAATCGGAGGGATCTACAGCTTTACGTCGACCGGCGTTTGTATTTTTATTAGAAGTTGTTTTTCATGGAAGAAATACACTCGCAGGTTTGCCATTGCCTGCCGACGGACGACCGCTTTTAAGGAAAAACCTTTCTTCCTTATGTTTATTGCGATGTTGCTTTACCAGGGCTTGAACCCAGGCCCTGCAGAGTGGAAGCGCGCACTGCTGACCAAACCGAAAGGAAAAATCCCCAAAAAGACACCGATCGCAGGAAGGCATTCTCGCCGATTCCGGTCCCAAAATGATGATAAAGTATCAACATCGAGGGCTACAGCTGCTGCGGCAAATAAGAGACAGCCCAGTGTCTAATTTAAAAAATTTGGTGAAGATGGCAGCGCTTGCCTTGTTTGTCTTTTTGGACAAATCTTCTTGGGTTCTGCTTACAAGGCAGGATTTCGTGTAATGAGAACACGACTACAGAGTTGGTTAGGGCGTTAATGGTCACTGTGGCACCCTCGGAAGATGCTGCCGTGTGGGCTACAGAGAATAAAAAATTCCTCATTCCAGGGTCGCAGAGGGGTACTTTCTAAACTCCATTGGCATCGAAACCAAGAAGCTACTGGAGTTTGTGCAGCGGCAGAATAGCGACCTCATCGTCGGATATCCGGATAGCGAAATCTAAATAGAGTAGAGAGGGGCTCTGACGTTATGCTGGTCTTGGCAAAGGAGGGATCAATTTCCGTTTTAGCCAGGTCACACTCAGGCTATAAGCGGCAGATGTCAACGCTGATGATCTGGCCAAACAAGTGGAAGCGGTAGGACTCGAGGAAGTTAATGACAAGTGCTCCAGTGAGTCTGAGGTGAAAACCAACACACCGGCAAATGATGTCAATGCAGAAACGGCGGAGCTTAGCAGGAAATTTTCCGGTGATAACATCCACATATAGCTCTTACAGAGAGCCTGGATCAACAAAGGCCGACTTCAAGGACTCGATATTAAAAATACTTAATCCCAAAATGACACCCCTTCATGTGGCAATGCAAGAGCAACCAGCAACGCAAGCACTCATGCTACATAGGAAAAGTAAGTAAATTCAAACAAGTCAACCTTGTCGAATAACTTGAAATCTTATAGAGAAAGAGGGGATCACCATGGCAAAAATCCTGGTTTCAGACCAAATTGATTCCATATTCAGCTTTAGGAAGACATATTTGACCTTCGTGAAGATTGGTGCAGAAACCCAACGTGGCTGCACGGTGTAATTGCGGGTTTGGTGGAACTGTGATTGCGCAAGTCTTTTCCCATTGAGCAAAGACGCAACGGCCGACCAAGTCTTATTAAACAGGCAATATGTCAGAACAAAGATCTCCACATTTTCGGACAGCCAATCTGTTCTCATGGCTCTATATGTTCTTATCAAAACCCTTATAGCCACCTAGAATAGAGCCTCCTAAATCTGGGTGTCTGATCCTGATGGCTATTATTGTAATGAAAAAGCAGACTTCCAAGGTAAAAAAAGCGGCAGGCACACCCGTTGTTGGACCCAGCCCATCTCTTGAATTCAACAACAATGATATCAAAGAACGTGGATAATAAGAGGGAATATCTACGGACACACCGTTATTCAAAGAAATTCCTTTGCTTCAGTGCCACAAGAGCTGAATCTGCTTTTGGCCTCTGTGGTATAGATATCTATTTGCAGATTCTGTGGTGAAGGGGAGGCATAAATGGAACACCTAATTACTACCCGAACAACGCTAGCTCATCGCAGAGCCAAATTTTTAAACGACTATACGCTCAGCGATATCGACCCAAAGCAGAATTCGCAGCAGGGGTTAATGGAATTCTTGTGCATATTAGTTGAACAACTAATGCTGAAAGAGGGGGCACAATAGATCAAATCTGGTCACAGTCTAATAGGCATGTAGACTTACCCTTACATAACCATAACCATAACGGCATACAGAGAAGCCCTAACAAACCCAATGACACCGCTTTTGCGACTTACCTACAGAATTTTAAATTTTGTTACTAACAATTAAAAATAAATGTATTTTTTCGAATAATTAGGGCAATAAATTAGTTTCGTTTGAATAAACTCTATGCTCTGGAGAATCGTTGTTATTTTAGAGTCGAAACATTTATTACAAACCGCACAGCGAGCGTACGCTCATAAATATTCAACGTAGGATCCATAAAAAGGAGTGCACTTAGGGGCGGTAGTATGTGCTAGGCAGGTTTAACGATAAAACAGATAAATATTTACGAAAGTAGAACCGCGATTTCCATATCGAATGAGCGAGTTACGCTTTGTGTGCGCGCCCAATTTTCACCAGACCAAGCGATTATATTAACGATTCATATGGGAGAGGAAGAAAACGCAAACAGATAAAAGTTGATTGAAGGCGGGCTGGAAGGGGCAGGAAGTCATGTACAATGTAAGTGCGCAACAATTACATACATACATACATACATACATACATACATACATATGTACAACTTCGTAAATAAATACACATCCAAACACACTACCAAATATGCCACACATGCCAAGCAACTGGAAAGAATAGCGTATCGCAGCTATGCAACGTATGCTGGATAGCAGAGCAAGCGAGAGAACCGACCATTAATAGACAGACAGTCGACATTGTTGGTATTCAATAACGCAAGCATGAGCGCACGGCACTGCCCACTACAGGCATTCAAGCATTCAACCACCAGTACCCGCGCGGCGGCAATTAATGCACGGAATGTGATTTAGGTAAGCAAGCGCGGCCACAGCAAAGTTACACACAGGAAAGCGGAAAGCATGTTGTTGGCAGCGGGGCACGAAGTAGAAGGTGGAAGGAGAAGCGAGTTGTAAGAGTTGGCGACCGCATGAACTTATTCCATAAGTGAAAGAGGGAACACGGCCTAGCAGTACCAGTCAATTGCTATTCCTTTCGCACCAATGATGGGTTTCCACTAAGGCGTAAGCCGCCATTATTCTTGTGCATTTGGGTCGAAAAACCGGTGGCGGCGGCGGCATGTTGGCGATGGCGATGGTGGTGGTGGTGGTTACAACAGAAGCAACAATAATAAAGGCACGCCTAATAAGAACAATAAATGAGTAGCGTGTGTGGCTTTTGTTGTTGTCCATTTGAGCGCGTGAGCATACAAAAGCACTCACTCAACCAACCAAAGGCAAAAATTGACTCGAACAGGTTAACGCGTTGAGGGGCGTTTGTTAGAGCGCGGCGTCAGCTAGCGGTGGGGGCGGGGTAGGCTCAATGAGTTCAGCTTGGTGGAGCGCCGAGTCGCCACAACTGGTTGATGCGGAATTTAGGAATTCAGTGCGCCGTGTTCGGCTTTCGTGTGTGGATCGTGTCGTTGTATGAAAATGATATTTGAGGTTACGCTGAGTGCAGACGTGTCGTTACAAATCAAAGTTAGTAATAGAGTATAATAAAAACAAAAACGAAAACAAGAATGAAAAGACAAAAGAAAAATTTGAAAAGTAGAATGAAAAACGTGCATGAAAGTTGAAACTTAAAGAATAGTTACAAAATAAAAGTGCAAAAAGTTTAAACCAAGAAAAAGTGTGGACCGCAGCTTAAAATTAAAATTTTTCGCCGCAGCAAAGAATTGTCAAGCGAAAGAAAAAGCAAAAGAAAATTCTCAAAACTAAAAAAGCCAAGTGTCCTAAAAACTACCAAACAAAAAATTGAAGCAAAAGCCAGCAAATAAAAAAAAACCTCTAAAAACACTAAAAAATCGCAAAAAATTTGCAAGCTAGCGCACGTTTCCTGCTTTCGCTTAATTGCACTCGAACAGCGTTGTGTCAGTGTATGTATGCGTGCGTGCGTGCGTGTGTGCCTCTATGCATATGACCGCGCCAATGTGCGTATGTGAACGCGCTACCGATTGCATTAATTGCCAGCCACTTCATTTACATATCTATCAATGAACATAAATAGGCGCATTTGCAAAATTCTACATTTGAATGTTCGCCATTCCAGCACCAATATTACCAAGTGTATTATTTGCATAAAATCTGGAAATTGTCTAAACATTCATATCTAAAACATTACAAAAATTTCGCCCCCTTGCACCATTGCCTTGCTCGCTTGGTCATGTTGATTGAACCGGGTATAAATCACAAGTTTGGAACATTGGCCGCCGCAAATTCGAGCATACCAGCGCATTGGAAAATGGAACCACCAAGAATACCAGCTTTAGCGGGTACGGGTGGTGCGCCCACTATACCGCCACCGTGCAATAGTAAGTTGAACAACTAACTAAGGAGTAGATACCTACATAGAATATTTTTTTGTTTTTTTTAATTTGAGGAGAAGAACTTAGCTGAATTAGGTAGTTGGGGGAAAAATAGTTTTTGTGCACTGCAGAGTTAAATACCTAAATGAAACGGCCAGTTGACTGATTTCCGACGGTGCGGCTGTTGTTTCTACACTAAGGGGCATTTTCCCGACTGCCGGCTAAAATTTGACGGCCGGTCTTTTTTATTGACTTTTTATCGATTGCCTGTTATAAGCATGTGAGCGGCAAATTTGACAGGCAGTCAGTGGCGGATCCCGCCGGGGGGGGGGGGGGGTTTGGGGGGTTAACTACGTGTCAGTCAGTGGCGGACCCACGGGGGGTGTTTTAATACATAGACGCCATATTATACATACATATGCGTCATATTATTTACACTAGGTGCTCTCGGAGCACTGGCTGAGGGCGCCAGATTTTGGGAGGCGGCAAATTTTAAAACATTTCTAAGTTCAGATAAGAGCAGGTTTATTTATTTAGGGAAAGTTTTTTAGTGCACTGCTGTGGCTTAACTTAGATTAGCCAATTAATATAAACTTAGTTTATGTAATCTTCTAAGTCTAAACTGGCACTGAAAAACTAGCCCTTAATGTCGGTTATCTAAAGCTTTCAAAATTGTACACATATTTTTGATAATAATTTAAATTAATTCGGCTATTGACTATCAATTGTGCCTAAAACTGTCCCTACAAGACAGCTGAGTATCATATGAGTGCTCATATTTATTGTCATTATCACTAATTACAAAATTGCTTATCAAAGTATTCATTTTTGTTCAGACCATGGGAAAGAAAGTCATCAGTCATGGGCGTAGCCAGAACGAAATTTAGGGGGGG